AATAAGCACTACGTAAAATCCTACTAAAGATATGATGATAATAAAATTCAAAATCTAGGCAAGCTCCACAAACATTCAAATACATTCAGAATTCTCAGAAATTTCAAAATAAAGCTTATATGCTTGATTCGATTTCAGTCACACAATTTTCTGGTTCATAACTCATTTGTATCATCACTTCTTCAATAGGTCAATGATAAAATAAAAAATAGCTATGCAATGAAATGAAAGTATTTAAAATAATAAGCAAAAAGAAGATTGGAATACCCACCTGATTGAGCGAGCATTTCCTGTTGTAACCATCTTCACAAACCACTGTGGCTTTTCCGTTGAAAATGTAACATACCCCATTAACAAGCCAATCAACAGTCCACATCCATAACCCATCATCATAGAGACCTTCCAATCAAACCAACTCGAAGTATCGTGCTCTTCATGAAACATCGATGACCTTGGTTTGGGCGACGGTGCCTCATCATCAGCACACTCTTTTGACAATGGTCTTCCACACAACCCCAAATTCCCAATATAGGAACATTCTTCAAACGTTGCAAACTGTTTCTCATGAGGTATAGGTCCCATAAGTTGGTTATATGAAAGGTTTAATAGACCTAGACAGGTCAAACTTTCTAATTCCATTGGAATCATTCCAACAAGCTTATTTGAAGAGAGGTCCAAGACCTCAACAGATGTCAAATTTGACAATGATGTAGGGATATGACCTGTTAGACTATTTCGAGATAAATTGAGGAAACGAAGTGCGTGGAGTTTTCCAATTTCTTCTGAAATCTCTCCGTGAAAGTTATTATTTGAAAAATCAATGGCAGTAAGGAAAGCAAGTATTCTTACATATTGGACTTGGAAACCTCTTACTGCCAACGTCACCGAATCTAGATAATATGTTTCCCCCATATATGTTAACACACCCGGATCAATATTCATCGAAGCTTTCATGTTTTCAAAATACGTTGTTGGTAAAGAGCCACCAAAGTTGTTGTCTGAGACGTCAAAGATTCTCAAATTAGGGAAAACATTATTGGCCTCAAAAGAATCCCGTATAACACCATAAAATTTGTTGGAATGAAGGATAAGAACCTGTAGCTTCTGAAGATTTCCCAACCAATATGGGAAGGTATCATTTATGTTATTGTTCCCAAGATCTAGAACTTCGAGCATTGTACAATTGATCAATGATTGTGGGATTGGCCCTTCCAATTCATTGCCATTGAAGGTAAGGGTCCTCAAATGATTGCCCCTTACAAATGTTCCGGGAATTTTGCCATAAAATCTGTTCTTCCGCAAATCCAAAACGCTGAGACTTTCGCTAAAGTTCCCCATGCATTCTGGGATGATGCCACTCAAGCTGTTATTAGAAAGATCAAGAATTCCAATGGTTTTGATATCACAGATCGAGTGAGGTATCTCTCCCGTTAATTTATTGTTTGACATTAAAAAGAGATACAAATCTGGTGGCAGAATTGGTAGAGGTCCTTGAAGCAAATTGGAATTAAGGTCAAGATAGTGTAGATTTTCCCATGGAATCTTCTCTATGCTTGTCAGGGAATTGTAGGAAAGATTTAGAAAATTCAAAGTGACTTCTCCCACATGAAACATCCAATTGGGAATTTGGCCGTGGATCTTGTTGTCCGAAAGGTCCAGCAAGACTAATTGGTCTAGATTTCTTAAGCTGTCTGGGAACTCAGTCAGGTCACAAGAAGACAAACTCAAATACTGAACCTGAGGAAAGTATGGGCTGGGTACTTCTGATTTGGTGCTCAACAGTCGACGATTATGAGAAAGATCAAGCATTTTAAGGTTTTTGAGTTTTGCAAACATGGAAAGATCTAAAGCACCACTGAAATTGTTTGAAGAAAGTGACAGATGAGTCAGATTCACAAATTCAAAGATTGAACTTGGAAGTGAACCATGCAATCTGTTGTTACTCAAATCGATGAATTGTAATGAATTATTTCTAATTTCATCAATGTGGCCAGATAGCTGGTTATAGCTAAGGTCCATGTGCAACAATGGTAGATTGAAGAGCGTGAATGGTATGGTCCCATTGAACAAATTATGATCTAAATGGATAGAGGCTAAATTTCTAAGTTGACTTACTAGAGAAGGAATCGAACCAGCTAGTTGATTCCTCGAGAAGTCAAGATAAGAAAGTTGGGTTAGGTTGAAAAAAGTATATGGAATTTCACCAATGGAATTAGTGAGAGAAAGATCCAAATGCCTGAGCTGCACAAGATTTGAAAGAGATGATGGTATCTGACCCCTAAAACTGTTACCTGAAAGGTCCAAATGAGCAAGTTGTGTAATGTTACCAAGTGATCCAGGAATTGACCCACTGAAAGTGCAATTATAAATACGCAATTGCCTTAAGTGCTTCAGATTGCTGATTGAATCAAGCAGCCCTTCCGTCAGACTGATGTCAGAGAGATGCAAAAGCTTGAGGGGACTGCTCCAGTTACCTTTTGGAAAGATGCCTGTGAGCTCAAAGTTATCCCATAAAATGAGCACCTGTAGGTTTGGAAGGTGGAAGATATTATTCGGCAAGTTCCCTCGTAATAGACAACCATTGAGACTTAGCGATGTCAAAGAAGAAGACATGTTTACCAAGAAACTAGGTACTACGGTAAACATGTCTACATAATCAAGAATGAGTTCTTTCAACTCTGTTAAGTTTTGAGATAGCCCTTGCAAAACAGGTGTTTCAAGTCTCAAACGATTGTGGGAGAGGTCAACTGAAATCAATTTAGTGAGGTGAGAGATTTCGGCAGGAAGTTGACCATGAAAGTTGGACGAAGAGAGGTTAAGGAGCCTCAAACTGGGGAATTTATTAAAAGCTGAAGAAATCTGAGAGGAATTGAAGTTATTGAAAGCAAGATTTAGCCTTCGCAGGTGAGGAAGGAAAAATAGGCTACTGTTTGAAGGGATGCTGCCATAAAGCCAACTGCAACTAAGGTCAAGCTCAATCACATGACCAGTCACCGTATCACATGTTACCCCATCCCATAAGCAGCAATCCTTATCCTCTTTCCAGGACATCAATTTTGAATAAGAAGGAACCATTTTATCACAAGCGGAAGATGGTGAAAGCTTCTTCAAGGAAAAGAGTTGCTTAAACTGGAGTAATGCAGAACTTTGGTCGTGAGAACAAAGTTTTGCAGAACACTGAGAATGCAAGAGCAATAACAGGAGGCAGAAAATCTGACAAGACCATGTTAAGTACCAAGCCATTTTTTTGTATGAAACCAGAGGAATGGATATATTTGTAAATGGAACGAAAATGGAGGGTCAGTATATATAGAACCCATTTTCAGCTGTCTTTTTTAATTAGTTAAATTTTTATTAGTCAATACAGAATCTGCAAAGAAAGTTTCATAGAAGGAATATTCCTTGAACCATTATAGTATGCAAGTTTTTTTCAGTAATTCAAACCGAAAGTTAGATTCATGTAGCACAAGTCTTGGTTGTGCAGTGAGGACTACGTGCTCATCTAGAAAAATATTATCTACTCTCACCAAGTCTTGGTCATGCAGTAAGGACTACTACATCAATAACCAAGTTTCATGGCCATGCACTGACTATTCCACTAATTATTTAGCACCAAGTCTCCGTAAATTATCTAGCATCTAAATCTTGGTCGTCAGTGTCTTCTAAGATTAAAAGTCTTGGTCATGGAGTGAAGACTACTCCGTAAATTATCTAAGTCTTGGTCGTGAATGTCTTCTAAGATTAAAAGTCTTGGTCATGGAGTGAAGAGTACTCCGTAAATTATCTAGCATCTAAGTCTTGGTTGTGAATGTCTTCTAAGATTAAAATCATTTTCCACACGGTGCCCGAAATGATAAATTAATCTTCAAGTCTCAATTTCTAGTAATTTTGTCCCTCTATACTCTGTACATATTCAAGTCACAAGTAAATAATAAAGCCTTTTATTTTTATTTTTTCTGCATGTATTGTTGAAAAATAATATAAATACAGCTAACTTTGTTGAATGGGGGGAAGTATTTAACTGTGTAAATGAAAGGCACTTATACAGGCAACCAAATCAATATCGCTGCTTCTGCAATGGTCCTATTTTTTCTTATTACTTTAACATTTCAGATTTCAATAATATTAAAACAAAAGGGGGCCCAATAATCTTTGAGCGACAACACAGTGGAAAATGAATTCTAAACTCATTAGAAACCACAAAGTTCAAACTGAGGCTAACTTGTTATAACAATGCTTCAATGACAAGCAAACGATTTGAAAACATACAGGGACTCTGACGTAAAGTTAAAAATTATGGACGTTGTGATAGGAATCCACTCCCAAATTGATAGAAATTAGACTGAAAAGTGGCCCATTTATAGGGTTGAGTAGAACTCTTTCTAAAAATTCGGTTTACCAAGAGAGGATGTCTAAGTCCTTATAAACTATACGCCCACCTCTTTTCTCTCTGAATGTGAGATCTTAAAACAATTCGGGTGAATGATGGTCCCTTAGACTATATTCATATTATTTTTGTGGTACAGTATATTGTTTCTTTTAAAGTGTCTTATCAAAATTATATTTCATTTTGTTTTTAATAGATATTATTTTCATTATTATTTAAATTTTGAAAACTTAATTGCTTGTTAAAAGACATTATTCTAGTCTATTGATATTGATGAATAATGAATATACCTAATTTTGAATTTATATACTAATTTATTCTTCGAAAAAATAAATAAATTAGATCACACTTATCTAATTTCATTTTTTATTGTGTCTTATAAACAAACTTATATATCTTCCACCACACCTTCCCCAATTTCAAAACAGCCTATGAGACTAATAGGAGCAAGAATCCAAAGTAAAAAACAGAAAACATATGACAATTGCAATTCTTATTATGACAAGTTCATGATTTAGGTTTCTCAATTAAGGTATTAAATAGTATTAAAGTACCAATTAAGAAAAAAAAAAAAATTAAGCTAGATATGATGATAGTGAAGAATTATGAAATAGAGCTCGGCTTCTTGCTTCTCTTTGGGCTTTAGTGTCTAAAGAATTCCAAGATTAATCTTTCTTCTGGGTTTTGAAGGGTTAAGTCTTTCACTTGTTTAGTGTTGTATATATTGTTTTAAAACCCGAACCAGAGGACAACCCGTTTTGCTGTCCGGGTCACGAGTTAACTGGTTGGACCGAGTCAGCAACAATTTTATTTTTAAAAAATAATTATTAATCCCTCAAATTTTAATATATTAAAAATGCCCCTAAAAAAGGTCAAATTAGTCCCTAAAATATTTATTTATTTCAAATATACCCCAAAAAATTACCAATTAATCTTTTAACTTTTGACATATCTCCAAAACACCCCTATAAAATTCAATTAACCCTTATAATTTTGAAATATTACAAAACCCCCCTAAGACCTGAACTGAACCAGAGAAGCTGCCGGGTCCCAATCCGACCAGCCAGTCCGATCCGGTTTTTAAAATAGATATTGTATAGAGAAAGGGGCATTGTGCTTGTTAGCTGATTTTTTTGGGCACTAACGGCTGTTGTATAGCTTTTGTTGCTCATTTATTTTATGCTATTTGTGGACAGTTGGCCCCCTCTACAGACGTACGAATTTAGCCTTAACTTTAATACGTATTTAGTTTCTTATTAAAAAAAAAAAAAAAATTCCACTCGGTCCTAGTAGACCATCAAAGGATCTTGGTTCCAGGCTTGATGGTTTTGGATTTGATTTTAATTTAGGTCCGTGACATCCCACACAGCACGGGAAGCTGAAGTTCTTGATATAATAAGAGGTGATGTTGTCCACAAGTGCAATTCACACCCCAAAATTAAACTATATGGATCTTGCAGTGCTGGATGACACTTTGGATCCAATAAATCAAACAAACCTTAGGGGCAAAAAAATTGTTCTATCTGCAATACTTACCAAAGATAACTACTTTCTATATTTAGATAAACCAGATGATACAAGAAAATATATAAATAGAAAAAAAAAAAAAAAAAAAAACACACGCTCAAGGGAGATTAATCAGCCGTACCTCCTGATCATTACTAAGATAACATAACCAACATGTGGTTTATGAAAATTTGTTCTCTTTGAAGAGAACTCTTCCCACATAACTTCATCCCCCTTACATTTGATCAACGTTCCCACCTTTCTATGAAGTTCAACATAACTATTGAAAAGCCATCGAGGTTTTCTAGTTAAGAATACAAGAAAACCCATAATCACTCCAACACCATCCACATCCATACCGATCAGCACAACTTGCCAACCAAAATCAAATACAGACTCCACACTATCCTTTATATTGGGAAGATTGTGGGGACTCCTCAGGAGCACATTCTTGACAATGGAAATCCACAGAGTCCCAGTTCCATGTAGGAACTATTTGGGAAGGTTTCAAAGTGGTTGTCTCGTGGTATGGGTCCAACAAGTTGGTTTTGTGACAAATTAAGAACTTGAAGATAATTCAAATTTGCCAACTCCCATGGAATCTTCCCAACAAGCCGTTTGAAGAGAGGTCTAAAGATTCAGCTTCTCAATTTCCCAACTCGTGAGGTATATGACCGGATAGATATTTTGAGAGAGGTTTTGAGGAGGGCAGGAACAAAGATTCCCAATTAATTCAGGAATCTCTCCTTTAAAATTATTATTTGAAAAATCTATGGTTGTGAAAAGAGTAAGTATTTTTTCCAGTTGAACCGTGGATCCTTTTAATGTCACCACCACAGTATCTCAATAATAAGTGTCCCCCATATATTTCAGCTTCTTTTCAGTTTCACCAGCATTCATGATAGTGTTCAGATTTTCAAAATACCTCGTTGGCAAAGAACCAGTAAAACTGTTGCTTGAGAGATAAAAAATTCTCAACTGAGGAAAAGAAACTTTCTCGCCAAAATGGGTGATGGAACCATAAAACATATTAGAATGCAGAACAAGAACTTGGAGCACCGGAAGATCTCCCAACCAATATGGGAAGGCATCATGTATCTTGTTGTTTCCCAGATCAATTACTTCAAGCATTGTACAATTGATCAAAGACCGTGGGACTGTCCCTTCTAATTGATTGTTATTGAAGTTCAGAGTCCTCAAATTATTGTCCTTCATGAATGTCCCAGGTAAGGTACCATAAAATCTATTCTGTCGCAAATCCAACACGCTGAGATTGTTGCTGAAGTTTCCTATGCATTCTGGAATTCTGCCACTCAATTTGTTATTGGAAAGATCAAGAATTTGAATGAGACTCATGTTGCAGATTAACTGCGGAATCTTTCCAATCAATGTATTGTTGGAGATCAAAAAGACTTTCAAGTCAGATGGGGGAACTGGAAGTGATCCTTCAAGCAAATTGGAATGAAGGTCAAGATATTCAAGGTTTTTACATGGAATCTTCTCTATGACAGTCAAGAAGTTGTGGGAAAGATTTAGAAAATTCAAAGTATCAGTTCCCATGTTCCAAACCCAGCTGGGAATTTGGCCTTGGATCTTATTGTTTGAGAGGTCTAGAAATTCTATTCTGTCTAGACGTCTAAAGATGTCTGAGAACTCACTCAAGTTGCATGAGGATAATTTCAAAGAGTGAATTCGGAGAAAGGAAGAGTTTGCCTTGAACATGGTGCTCAATGACAGATTGTTATGAGAAAGAGCAAGTGTTTCAAGGTTTTTGAGTTTTGCAAACATGTAAAGCTCTAAAATGCCACTCAGATTGTTTGAAGAAAGTTCGAGATCAATTAGATTCACAAGTTCAAAAATTGAACTTGGAATTGAGCCAGACAACCGATTATTACTCAAATTGATTTCTCGCAAAGAATTATTCTGAAATTCATGAATACAGCCAGCAAATTGATTATAACTGAGGTCCATGAACTCCAATAATGGCAGAATAAAGAGCCCTGATGGTATAGTCCCATTGAGTAAGTTATCATGATAATCAATGCTAACTAGATTCTGAAGACTAGATACCTGAGAAGGAATTTGACCAGCGAGTTGATTCTTTGAAAAGTCTAAATAAGAAAGTTGCGTTAGGTTGACAAAAATATCCAGAATTTCACCAGTAAAATTATTGATTGAAAGATCTAACACCCTGATCTGCTGAAGATTTGAAAAGGATGATGGAATGTGACCGGTAAAAAAATTAGATGAGAGGGATAGATGTGTTAGTTGTGTAAGATTACCAAGTGACGTAGGAACTAACCCGATAAACTTGCAGGCTAGGAGATTCAAATGCCTCAAGGAATTCAGATTGACGATTGAATTAGGTAATTCTTCAAAGAAGCTCATGAAAGAAACATCCAAAAATCTGAGGGGGCAGCTCCAATTAACTTTTGGAAAAGCACCTGACAGTCCAAAGTTATACGCTAAACTAAGCGTATGAAGTTTTGGTAAGCGGAAGATGTCATTTGAAAAGTTCCCTCATAACAGACAACCATTTAGACTTAGAGATGTCAAAGAAGAAGATACGTTTACCAAGAAACTAGGTACTACGGTAAACATGTCTACATCATCAAGAATGAGTTCTTTCAACTCTGTTAGGTTTTGAGATAGACCATACAAAACAGGTGTTTCAAGTCTCAAATGATTGTGAGAGAGGTCAAGTGAAATCAATTTAGTGAGGTGAGAGATTTCGGAAGGAAGTTGACCATGAAAGTTGGACGAAGAGAGGTTAAGGAGCCTCAAACTGGGGAATTTATTAAAAGCTGAAGAAATCTGAGAGGAATTGAAGTTATTGAAAGCAAGATTTAGCCTTCGCAGGTGAGGAAGGAAAAATAGGCTACTGTTTGAAGGGATGCTGCCATAAAGCCAACTGCAACTAAGGTCAAGCTCAATCACATGACCAGTCACCGTATCACATGTTACCCCATCCCATAAGCAGCAATCCTTATCCTCTTTCCAGGACATCAATTTTGAATAAGAAGGAACCATTTTATCACAAGCGGAAGATGGTGAAAGCTTCTTCAAGGAAAAGAGTTGCTTAAACTGGAGTAATGCAGAACTTTGGTCGTGAGAACAAAGTTTTGCAGAACACTGAGAATGCAAGAGCAATAACAGGAGGCAGAAAATCTGACAAGACCATGTTAAGTACCAAGCCATTTTTATGTATGAAACCAGAGGAATGGATATATTTGTAAATGGAACGAAAATGGAGGGTCAGTATATATAGAACCCATTTTCAGCTGTCTTTTTTAATTAGTTAAATTTTTATTAGTCAATAAAGAATCTGCAAAGAAAGTTTCATAGAAGGAATATTCCTTGAACCATTATAGTATGCAAGTTTTTTTCAGTAATTCAAACCGAAAGTTAGATTCATGTAGCACAAGTCTTGGTTGTGCAGTGAGGACTACGTGCTCATCTAGAAAAATATTATCTACTCTCACCAAGTCTTGGTCATGCAGTAAGGACTACTACATCAATAACCAAGTTTCATGGTCATGCACTAACTACTCCACTAATTATTTGGCACCAAGTCTTGGTCATGGAGTGAAGAGTACTCCATAAATTATCTAGCATCCAAGTCTTGGTCATGGAGTGAAGAGTACTCCATAAATTATCTAGCATCCAAGTCTTGGTCATGAATGTCTTCTAAGATTAAAATCATTTTCCACACAGTGCCCGAAATGATAAATTAAACTGGATTCACATATTGCCATTCTATTAATCTTCAAGTCTCAATTTCAAGTAATTTTCTCCCTCTAGACTGTGTACGTATTCAAGTCACCAGTAAATAATAAAGCCTTTTATTTTATATTTTTTCTCCTTGTATTGTTGAAAAATATATAAATACAGCTAATTTTGTTGAATGGGGGGAAGTATTTAACTGTGTAAATGAAAGCTACTTACACAGGCAACCAAATCAATATCACTGCTTCTGCAATGGTCCTATTTTTTCTTATTTCTTTAATATTTCAGATTTCAACGATATTAACACAAAAGGGGGCCCAATAATCTTTGTGCGGAAACACAGTGGAAAATGAATTCTAAACTCATTAGAAACCACAAAGTTCAAACTGAGGCTAACTTGTTATAACAATACTTTAATGATAAAAGCAAGCGATTTGAAAACATACAGTGACTTTGACACAAAGTAAAAATTAGGACCGTGTTAATATTAAGGAAACAAATCGGGTGAATGATGGTCCCCCTTATTATATTCATATTATTTTTGAGGTATATTGTTTCTTTTAAGGTGACTTATCAAAATTATATTTCATTTTATTTTTAATAGACATTATTTTCATTATTATTTAATTTTTGAAAACTTAAGTACTTCATAAAAATTTATTCGATTTATATTGAATATACCTAATTTTGAATTTATATAGTAATTTGTTTTTACAACAAAAAAATAAATTAGATTGAACTTATCTAATTTCATTTTTTATTGGAATGTGTGTCTTGTAAACAAACTTATATATCTTCCCCCACACCCCCCAATTTCCAAACAGCCTATGAGACTAATAGGATCAAGAATCCAAAGAAAGAAAAAAACATATGATAATTGCAATTCTTATTATGATGAGTTCATGATTTAGGTTTCTCAATTAAGGTATTAAAAAGTATTAAGGTACCAACAAATAAAAAAAAAAAAAAATTGTTTTCTACCATGGTCTTCCTCTTACTCTACAATGACTAACATTAAAGTTTAACACCTACAGAGACTTTACTCAGTGACTAAATGTGCATTAAAGTAGACCCCAGAGCACAAAACTAGTTAACAGCAAAAGCATATACAGTTCCCATCCCAAAATATATAACTCTGAACTCACAGAACTGAAATTCTATAATCCGACAAGCACAAAATACTCTTAATTCTCAAATTCATTCATCAGGTGAGGTGTGCAATGTAGTCTTAAAGGTGATATTTGGTGATTTCAAATTCTATTTTTCACTAGGGCTTTTAGATTAGCCAAAAAAAAAAATACTTTCAATTATGTAAGGTCCGATTAATTAGTATTTAGTTTCCTGACTTCGTATTATCAATTTGATGATTCAAATGGCTAGTTCATTATTATTGTTACGATAAATATTATATGACATTAAAATTTAATTCCATCTCCATCAGTGAAGACAACTAGTCTTGGTCATGCAGTGAGGACAACTCCATCTCCATCAATGGTTTACCCCCAAGTCTTGGTCATGGAGTGAAGACAACTCCCTAATAAATCATCTAGCACGCCAAAGTCTCGGTCAGCACCGACGTCTTCCTAATAGGCTATAATTTCTTCATATTTTTCCAATTCACAATGTGACATTCAATCAATCTTGATAGCTCAAACTTTCAACTCACTTTCTCCTAAACTGTGTATCATGCTTACAGTTTAAATTTTCTCTTTTTCTCTATTCTCTTCAGCTAATTCTTCCTATAAATAATAAAAATTAATTCGTAATTGGAAAAAAAAAAAAAAAAAACATTTAAGAATAGAAATCATAAACAGATTTTAATAGTAATTAGAACTAAATTACCAGCTTGATTTTGAGATGAACAGCCGCCGCCATATTCGCCACTGAAGATCCAACCGTCCGTTCATTTACTGTAAGAAGACGAAATACAGAAGAAAAATTCAGTTTCTTGAGCTAGTATTGAGAACATTGTGCGTATGAGAAAGTAAAGGTACCTCTCCCGATGCGTATTTTGAGCGAAGGCTCCAAATACAGGTTACGAAAGTTTGGATCTTCACTGGAAGAAAAGAAGTAGATGATTAGGGGATCTGTGGAGATAACTCTATTCCAGGGGTCGTTTTAAATTTAACCAAAATAATTTTTATATAACCTATTTATCCGCTAAGTACCGAAATTACCCCTTTAAAAAAATTGTATAGTGTGTTTATAGGGATTTATTAATTCGCCATGAGGTTTAACATGGAAAAACTTGCCCTCGATTATTAAGAAATTAAATATGTTAGTTGATCGTAACAATTTAAGGATATAAAAGATATTTAAAATAAATTATTAGTTTTTTTTTGTCAATCACTTATCAATTTTAGACAAATAACTGAAAGTTTTGATTAAAGTGTTGATCGTCTTGATATAATAACTAGGAGTGTAATCGAATCGAGTCAAATTGAGTATTGAGAAACTCAAGCTCAATTTGATTAGAAAACTCGAAACTCAAACTTCAATATTCAGGCTCGAGCTCGAGCCCGACTGTACATGACTGGCTCGAGTTCAAATAAAGATTGACTCGATTACAATCGATTAAGCGTCAATAAAATTATAAGTGTGGATTCTCCAACACTCAAGTCAACAAAGAAAATTGTATTATTTGATCTTGCTCATGCTTTGATGGCTTATTGATAGTTTAATAACTGCCTGAGTTACAGGGTTCAACTGCACATAGTGGGCAGTTATAACTTGGCCGTTATTCATAGGCTTTTTGGGTAATTTGGGTTTAGGATTTCTTTCCTTTTCCAGCCCCTTTTAGTTTATATTTGTACTCATTAATTTGGGCTTTATTACCTGGGCTTCTTTATTGGGCTTTGCCAGCTGTATATATGGGAAATGATTTTTGAAACCCGTTTATTTCATCGTTAGCCTCCATTTCTTATTTTGGAGAGGATAAAATTGTTAATTTATAATTCACTGGGATTACAACAGACCTTGTATTTTACTTTAATTTTTTAATAATGTTTTACTTACAACTGAGTTATACAATTGAGTCATACAAACAGACAAAAATTACACAAAATTTATGTAAAATGATTACTCTTTCCTTTGTTTTTTGTCTGGTTGTATGACTCGGTTGTATGACTCAGTTGGATGACTCACTTAGAGGTGGAACATTTGGGCTGGGTTAGGCGGGTCAACCCTAACCCGGCCCGTAAAGACATGGGTTAAACCCGAACCGCCAAGATGGCGGGCCAGGTTGACCCTAACGCTGCAGCAACCCCCGGGCGGGTCGGGTTGCACAATGGTAACTTGCAACCCAGCGGGTTGCTGTTTTGTCTCTTTTGAAAGAGACCCGTCAACCCGTCGGGTTGCAACAGCCAACCCGGTGGATTGGCCGAAAAAAATAAAAATAAAATTAAAAAATTTTATTTTATTTTTTAAACAGCAATGCTAGTCTTACAAAGAAGCCTACAAAGGAGGTATACAAAGTTAACCTCCACCCTTCATCTTCATCATTTCTCTCTCTCTCTCTTTCTCTTTTTCCGTTTTTCTTTTATTTTTTTCTTCACTTTGTACGTTTCTTTGTAGAGTTCTTTGTAAGGATAGACTTATTCTTTTTTAAATTACCCATTTACTCTTGAAATACAGCCGTTTTATAGCCGTTGGAGGGGTCTTTTTAATCATTTTTCTTTCCTTTTTTTTTCCTATAAATTGGCCCTAAACTCTCACATTTTTTTCACAACTCAAATTCTCTCATTCTCTCATATTCTCTAATCTCTAATCTCTCAATTATTCATTTATTCTCTTAATCTCTTTGTTATCAATTTGCTCGTAGTTTAATTTTGATTAGTTTTTGCAATTTTTAATTCATATTTCCAATTTTCCAAATTCCAGATTCCAAATTCCATATTCCAATTCTCTTTCTTTGATTTTTATTTCTTCTACATCAATTTTTTTTTTCAACTACAATGGATAAATATTTCTCTCCCATCAATTACAATGATGACGGAAACTACTATCCTAGTCTTAGTCTCGCTGATTTTACTAACATAAATGCAGGAGGAGATTCAAATAGTCCCGCTTTCCCATTCTCAGAATCCGATACACCTCAAAATATGCCCCCGATTCCAACAGCTCCCAGTGGTTCTAGAAGTCGTCCTCGTAATCGTTGTGCTCGTCCAACTTCCTCAAGCTGAGGCGAGATCATCACTGCCGTTAAAGCAAAGACAGACACACTCAGACGTTTGGGCGTATTTCGACAAGTTTACGAGACAGAAAATGACGTTCAAGTCAAGAAAGTGAGAGCAAATACTGTGGAAATATTATAAAGCTGATTCAGGTAATTGTATTAGTACTTTAAAAAGGCATGCTAATAACATATTAATCAACATGGAAATAGAGAAAGCAATCAAACTCAAATAACAAATATGAGTACTAATTGGCGTTATAATTCTGATGTATATAGAGAACAATTAGCTTTATATATTGCTGCAAGTGATCAACCTATTAATTTCTGAAGATAAATATTTTGAAATTTGTTCAAAATTCATTTTTCCAGGATTTAAAAGTTATTCTAAACTGCAACTAGAAATGATTTAATAAATTGTTTAAAAAAATGAAATTAGAATTAAAAATAAAATACATACTTTTCATGTTAGTGTGGCTCTAACTGTCGATATTTGGAGTGGTAGAGCTAAACAATATTATATTTGTGTGACTAGTCATTATTTTGATAATGAAGTAATTAAATAAATATTTATTAGGATTTAGATTAATGGATGTTGATCATATAGTGAACATTTATAATAAAATTATTGAAGTTTTAGAAGATTATGAGTTGTTAGTAAAGTGATAAGTTTAACTTTAGATATGCAAGTTCTAATAGTAAAACTATAATTATTTTCAAAGTATTACCTTTATATAACAATTTGAAGTTTTTTCACCAACGTTGTGCATGCCATGTTATTAATTTAATTATGAAAAGTGGTATGAAAACAATTAGAAAATATTAATAGAATTAAGAATTGTTTAGCTTGGATTACTAGTAATATAAAGAAATGCTGAATTTCAGACGCTTGTATAAAATCAAATATGTCTCCTAGAACTTTTGCATTAGACATGCATGTTAGATGGAATAGTACTTATTTAATGCTTAATTCATGTTTCCTTATGCTAATAATTAATTATTTTGTAGCAATAATAGAGGTCCTCATTATTTGATAGAAAATGATTGGCATATAGCTAAAATATTTCATTATTTTCTTAAAACTTTTACCAATCCACTTTACAACTTCTAGTGTGTATTATCCGACTAGTCCATTGGTAATATATCAATTATAAAAATTTCTGAGTATTTTAAAAAACAAAGACAATGTAATTTTAAATGCACCAATAAAGGCAATGGAATTTTTTTTTTTAAAATATTGGAACCCATTCCTTTTCTTCATTTTTTGGATGCTATATTTGATCCTAGAATTAAATTAGCAGGTTTAGAAAATGTTTTGACAGTTTATGTGAAAATTTACAAACCGAAGCATATGCCAATCAAATAGGAGAGGTAAAAATACACTTTTCGAAGTATATTTCTAGTAAGAAAACAGGTATGGGACCTGTAAAGAGGCAAAACATCCAGGGAAGCTACATTAGAAGAAACAAATGAAGACTTCTACTCTTGGGGTGCACTGAATAGGCCGAAGAGGACTCGAATCCGAAGCAGAACCTCCTCTTCAGAAGCTCCACCACCAACACAACTAATGTACTGTCTTCCATGCAGTCGTAGAGTAATGAGCTTCAATAATTTGGCAACCCCTGAAATGTTACCAGTAGATCCATGATAAGATGTAATTTTATATTTTTTTCCTTCCATATTTTTTTTGTCATGTTTTTATGCCTATTTGAGTTGATTAGAGTTTATTTTGTGAGTTTGACATAGTTGGATAGACTTAGGAAATGATTGATAAAAGATTAGAAAATTCCAGATTTTTGTTATTCTGACCAGTGCTACGTTTTTCAGGTTTTTAATGGAGTTAGAGTTCTCAATTGCACAATGTTCTTCAAAAAAAAAAATAAAGTTGATGAAATCGCTTTCCAGAAAGGTATTATGGGCGAGATCCGAGTTCGTTTGGGTCTTCATTGTTGTTGCAAAACCGGACCTGGAATCCTAGTTGTGGAAGGATTTCCTGGCTGAGTATTGAATCTTCAAACGGGCCTAATTGAGCGTCAAATATTGAAAGCGGTGATTCAAAAGCCCAGATTCATCTACACATCCGGGACTATAATGTTTATGAAGTGACTGAGCCCAGAAAGATCTTTACATTACAGAAATCCTGGTGCAAGCTGGAGACAAATTCTGGAATCCATATCTGATAAGATTTTGTCAAATCTGGAAGTCTATCTTTTAGAAACATCTAGGAAAGATTTTCCGTGATTCTTGGGGTAGAATTAGGAGAAAAACATGTTATTTATTCAGGGTTATTAGGTTAAACAGGGGAGAACAGCAGTAGAGTATTTTCTAAGTTTTTATCTTCTACGTCAAGATGTGAGGCTGATTTTTCTTCTTCGTTCAAGGGGATTTTAAGCCTATTATGTCATTGGTGTAGCCTAACTTCAGTAACATGTTCATTTTATTCTGTTTGTTTTTTTATATTGTGTATTGTTATTTTATATGTTTTTGTGTTTATTATTTGTGTTGTTTTGATTTAGTAATGGCCTGCTGAATTATTTCATCGGAATTTTATCTGTTAGAATTAGGAATTGTGATCCGTAATTGTCCTTTTTCTATTCAATGAGTGACACATGATGATAGCTGATTATGGACAAGTTTTCGGTCTACTGTCTTGAATAACATAACCTAAGTTAAATAATCCAAGCTTGCGTGATTGTTGCTTAGATTGATCTATTCTCCTAATTCTTAAGGCTGCCATTGAATTAAATTTAGAGAGCTTGTTCTAGGTTGTTCAAGGGTTAGTATCTACCGAAGAGCTTGTTTCAGTAGTGAACAAAAGGGAGAATTCGGTAACAAAGCTTGTTGTTTCCTAGGTCAGTAGTTCCATTAAACGAGATAGAATAGTGTTACGGTTAGTTCATGTCCAATGCATGTTTAGGTGGATCTTGAACCGAGAACTAATTGTTTTTAACCTGATATTTTATTCCATTAGAGATTTCTCTGTTTTACTTTAGTTTGCCTTACTACAACCCCTTTTCATTATTGTCATGTTTACTGTTTACTGTTTAGCGTTTTATTTTTTTTTCTGTTGTTTTCATTGTTAGAACATAGAATTAATCGAACCATTCCCTGTAGGATCGACCCTTGCTTCCCTTTATGTAATTAAGTAGTTAGGTTAGGAAGGTTATTAATTTGGAGGATTCGGCACGCTACCAACCACAACAGAGAGACAACATTGATCTCTTAGACTATTGGAGAGCCAGAAAATATTTTTCCGTGTATTATCAAGACTTGCCTTGGATGTTTTGCTGTTCCTGTCTCAACCGTCTCGTCCGAACAAACATTTAGTGCAAGTGGAAGAATTTTAAATGAAAGGAGGACTAAACTTTCACCACAATTGATTGAAGTCCTCATATGTCTTCGAGATTGAGAACGGTCGCGCCATCAAGGTCAATACGAGGTTGTCGACGATACTTTAATAGATCATTTCAATTTTGTAATCGAGTGATACGGATGAGGGAGGTCCTAGTGAACCCCAAATTAGTTGTTTTGTAAATTGTAACTTGACAAATTAATTGTCAATTTTGTACTCTTTTTCCTTACCAGTTTTTGCCTATGGTTTTTTCTTGGTGAGGTTTTTAACGAGGCAATAATTATGTAATTTCTTATTTTATTTTTTAATAATGAATAAATTTAATTATTCTTATTTACAATTTTAATGTATAAAATTGAATTATATTTGGAATGTTAAAACAAAAAAAAAAAAAAATTAATTAGTTTAATTATTGATATTGGAAAAGAGTTTACAATTAATTAAAAACAGTTCATTTATCATTTATAAATTGTTAATTATTCATTTGAAAAGTTAATTAAACTTAAACTTAAACAAAAAAAACAAAACCAAATTTAAAAAAAAAAAAGTGGTTAACCCGCCCAACCCGCGCCTAACCCGGCGGGTTAGGGTTGGCATTTCGGGTTGGGCCAGCCAATTCCTTAATATTGGCGGGCCTAACCCGGCCCGCCAATGTCACCGGGCTGGTCAGGACCGACCCGCCATTAATAGCAACCTGCCGTGGGCCGGGCCGGGCGGGTTGCTTTTTTACCTCTAGACTCAGTTGTAAGTATATATTCAAAAATTGCTTTCTTATATATATACACAAAAATTCTTGAGTATAGATATTTGAAATTTTTTATAAACAAATAAAAAGTGAGCATTTAGTTGTTGGTTTTGATCTCTAGGTTGTGAAGTTAACGATCGAATGCTTACATTAGGTTAGTATATTAAAATTTTTTACGGCAGTCGCATTAGATGTTGACAAACTACAAGAAGAAAATGTAACTTTTATGGCCTATACATTGTATATATAACATGCAAAAGCAAATGTACCAAAGTCCAAGCTATTGCAATAATTCTTGCAAAAGACAAATAAAAGAAAAGCTTACAATTACGTTTGAGTTACAGCAATTAGGGGTGGAGTAAAAAAATAAAATTCAGAGGGGCCAAAATGTAGTATTTAAGAAGTAAGAGAGGTTTTGTAATTTGTATAGAAATAATCTAGGAAGTTACATTTAAAGGGGCGAAAGTGTAAGATTTACTGAATAAGAGAGGCCAAAAGTAATAAACTCTTGCTTGAGCTAACCCAACAAACCTTAACAGCTCCTACAAGCAAATATAGATGAATATCAAAGGACACGTCTATAAGAGGGCTAACAGTTTTGTGGGAGGTTATTTGAAGTCCTATCAAATCGATCAGTATTCTCCGTTGCTAAATAAATATTTATTATATTTCTTAAAAATCTTTTTAAACTCCACTTAATACCAAAAATAGCTCTATTTACTTAAGTCTGATGAGTTTTTTTTTTTTTTTTTTTTAATACTCTTTTTATCCAGTTTCTAATTTGAAACTTAGTTTTTCTTCTTTGTCATATCCATCTCATTGTATGATTACTTTTTCATAGATTCAGTAATATATTTCCCTCAACAAAGAAATATTTGAAACGATTTTTTTTTGTTTTCTCACTCATTTAGAAGTTTTAATGTTAGGGTTTATGTAAGAACTAGAGATTAAAAATTAAAACAAAAATATAAAAGAGAGTATATATTGTATTTAGAATGGGATGGGATCTTTTAACCCAACATTTTTTTTAATACAAATTTTTACCTGTGGATTTAATACAATTCAACGGTGTAGGAATTGCTGAGATTGCAAACATAATAACTATTTCTAGTAATTTTCACTAAAGTTAAAATTGTTAAAAAAAGAAAAAAAATATTTAAAAATGGGGGATACTAATCAATTTGATAGAGGATAAAAATCTGTTCCTCGATTATATCCTGTAAAAATAACGATTTCTCATAAGAAATAAAAGTAAAAATTTGTGAATATAAAATTTACTATGAAATTTATTGTAAAATATTGTTTCGTTCTTGAAAAATAATTAAGTTTAATCAATAATTCACTTTAACAATTTACACACACACAAATATATATATACACACACACACAAAAATACGACACTATTTAGTGGTCTATAAGGTAAGAAAAATAATACAGTTACCGAAGAATGCGCACCGAATTCATGCATCGAATGACGTGACGCAATCTTAACCTTCGATTAATTATAAATTATAATTAATCGATGGTTAGGATTGCGTCACGTTATTTAGTACGCATTCTTCGGTAACTGTAGCATTGCTCATAAGGTACACTGTTTTAAAAGCCGAATCGGATCGGCCGGTCCAACCGGTTGGACCGTGAACCGATCACGCGTCCGGTTCGACTTAATATAAAACCCGCTATACGTAACAAACCGTTTTAACCCGTCATTGGACCGCGTAAACAGTGTTGGACCGCAAGGAAAACCGGCCCAATTTGAAAAATTAAAAAAACCCTAATTTCTTACTTTCTCCCTTTGCGCTACGCAGTTTTTTGCGATGACAAGTGGGGATGGAGGTTGGGGTTTAGAAGGGGCGAGGATGGACGTTCAAATGGCAACGACAAGTGGAATTTTTGGTGTCCAAAACGGTCAGAAATTGGATGAGAAACAGTGAGTTTGCGCATAAGTTTAGAGGCTGTTCATTGGCGATTTGAGGGTGCGTTGGGGTGGAAAAGAGAGGGGTTTTGGTTAGGGTGATGTGAGGATTCAGATGGAAGTGTTTGGAGGGTTCGGTGGTGCTATCCGACCAGATCAAGCTAGAAAACGACGATCGAACGGGTGAAGATGGGTGTCACGAGAAAACGGTGCAAGCAACTTTTGAACGATGACGAGGACCTCAGGCCTACCGATTTTGGTGGTTAGAACTTAGAACCGATGAGGAGCCTATTGAACAGTTGGCAGTGGCGTCGGCAATGTAATGGGTTGGAATTCATGAGGGTTTTGGTGTTTAGAATGACCATTTTATCCCTTAATTGTTACATGAAACAATTTTCTACTAATTTAAAAGGAGGAATATGGAATAAATAAAAATAGGGGTGGAAACTTACCATTTCGCTAATCTTTGGGTGGGAACATGTCGTTTACTCTTGTACATATAAAGTTGGTGATGAATTTTGATGCTAGTGTGTAAAGCTCAATCAACATAAAGACGGATAAAAAAAAAAACTCTTGCATCAAATGTTTTGTAATTAGTTATTATGTATTTTGTCATTTAATATGTAAATACATTATGTTTAGATTTGGACTTTGAATTATTGTTAAATACTTAAATTATATTAGGATTGTTGTTGAATTTGAACTTTGAATCATATTGAACAGTGATTAAATTGTTATTGTTTTATTAAAAAATAGAAATCTAAAAAAAAAGTTTTTTTAAAAATGTTTTGATGTCATCATGATGTGTGATGATGTCACCGGTCCAACCGGTTGGACCGGTTGAACCGTGACCCGGCCAGCAAAACGGGTTGCCCTCCGGTCCGTTTTTAAAACAATGATAAGGTAATGCACTATAAAACAGAGAGGAAATTAAGCTCATAAGCATAAGAGAAGAGAGTTTGTTGATGAGGTAAAGAGTGGACTAAATAAAAGAAGAAACGGCACAAATTAATTTGACCTTGGACTTAATAAATATAAAAATAAATTTTTGGTAATTTGGGATCCAAAAATCATTCTAGCAATACAATCGATCTAATTTTCAGAGCATTCTCTCTGTTTTCTCTCAGTTTTATCTAAAACCAAACACTATGGATCCAATAATTTCTACTGTAAAAACCCATTGAACATCTTTGTATCTTCCATAATAATTAACATAAATGTACTAGATTACCAGGAAATTGTGCGCAAATAAGAGGAATATGAATATGCTACATAACTGAATTGAAAGACTTAATTAACATCAATATACATGTTACAATACAACCAACTTCAATAATTCTAGCAAATTAAAGCATAGTAGTACTTGACTTGAACACAAACCTTGAACGGTATGTTGAATACGATATTTCTCTTAAAAGGGGACAACGTAGCAGAACAGAAATGGTGGTTGGCACAGATGCTAGTAGAACTACATGTATGGTGACCCAATTTAATCTATCCTGATAAGCTAAGAAGATGGTTGTGGTAAAAGCTATCATCATGGTTATTATTGAAATAAAGAGAGATGAGAGCCCAAAAATCAACTTAAATGGTAAGGATCTGAGAAAATCATCTTCTGTATTCTGCGAGCTAAGGATAGACAAAAACATTAGTATCGAGAAGGACGATGAAGATAATGCTATTGCATCTGATATGATGAAAACCTGAAATAAAGTATCTCTTAGATTAGTAGGTATTCCTCGATTATTATCATTGCCACCTGGTACACTAAATACCGTTGCAAAAATTACAGTCGCGATGATGGTTGCGACAAGGATACAAGAGCTTGCTGTATTCTTCATCCATGATTCTCCATTGCTTAATAACTCTTTGTGCTCTTGGGTGAATAATTCTCGAGGTGTTTGGCCATTTGTATTTTTCTTTTCTCTAAATGAAGGTTGCACCACCTTCTCAACCTCCTACAAATAAACATTAACGTGAAACAATAATTAAAATGTTTATTTTTTCAATATTCCTTAAAGACTTGATTCATGAAAAAAATATTTATTACCTTAAACCATAATAGCTCTCTTTGCATTTGCAGAGCTGCACCTGGTACAATATTGACTCGATTCGGATGCGGAAGTTTTGCAGCTAAATGCAATATATTATTGCCATAATTATCTTCCAAAGTTGCCATTACATCCTTAGTGAAACCTATCTCAAATATTAGATTGAATATATTAGCATGACGATGCACAACTGCAATGTGAAATATGCTATGATTATTCTCATCAATTTCATGAATCAAATCTGGATAACGGGGAATGAGCTCATTCAAGAATTCAAAGTTTCCGAATCTAGCTGCGTCGAGCACGAATTTTAGGTCTGTGTGCTCCAAGTCACCTTGTTCTGTTAATATGTCCCAAAGACATCCTACTAATTCAAGAGCTTGAGTTGATGTCGAATCCGTGTTGTGATTGAACTTCCTTCCTGGGACTAAGAATGAAAATATAAATTTTAGCCAAACTTTCATATGTTAGAAAATTGTAAAATTTTGTTTTTTAATAGTTTCAATAGTAATAAATATGATCTTAATTTGGAAAAAAAGGCAGCAGATATAGTATAATCACTTGTTTTTTTTGTTTGGACTCGAATTCGCTAAATATTATATATAGAAGTTGACTATAATCATTAGAAGGTTACATACACCAAGTAAATATATATGGAGAAACTAACTTGAGGTGATAAGCGGCTTCGATAGTCCTCCTTTTCTGCCGGCAAATGATGAAGGCTGTCGAGCCAAAATATGCAAGGCCGTATCTTGATTTTTGTCACAAGCCATAGCTAACTCTGGAAGATCCTTTAGCAACTCAATTGCGAGATCTGAGAAATTCACCAAAATTCTAAGAACAACAGTGGAAAACTTTCTTCATACAGTTAGGACAATTATGAACTGCACTTTCTAATTAACACAAATCTACCATTTGAACGTACTCTTACCGTATAGTCCTGTACTCAGACAAGCAAAAAATAGAGAACCCTTGTCGTCCCTGGACAAAATAATGCCGTTGAATTTGGCCTTCCTATATAAATATAATGTCATGTCCCTGTAACCAAATATCGCAGCTAGATAGATTGGAGTCACATCTTGCCCCCCTCGAGTTGCCAACAGTTTTTCATTCTTTTTCAACATATTTTCAGCAATTTGGATAGCTCCAGCTGCCACTGCAAAACAAAAGGCCGAATTTCCATTTCTGTCTTTCAGAGTAAGGTCTTCAGGTTCTATCAATTCTAGAAACTTCTCTACAAATCCAATTTGTTTTGCTCCTGCTGCAATATGAAGAACAGTTTCGCCATTCTTTGTGATCCTGGCACACAACAGTGATCGATCTTGTCCTAACAAAACTTCGGCAGTTGCCCAGTCACCTTTTAATGCAGCCCAATAAAGAGCCACACAGATTTTGGTATTAACCTTTCCGTAGTTTTTACCTGAGTAAGTTGAAATAACGAAAATAAAATGTCATTAGATTCATTAACAAATAATCACTGCATAGCCAAGAATTTTTCTCAATAATTTAAAAAAAATAAAAAATGCACTTAATCATATTTACATCCAAGGAGCAACCTAGAATTTAATATCAAAGGGGGCAAATTCAATTCAATATGGAAAATTAAAATTTATGTAAAACAAATAAATGTTAAAAATCAAGACCTTTATGTTCATATGAGCGGGGTCAGGGTGAGAGAGTTAAACAATTACTAAATTACTGTCGGGGTAATATTTTCTCTAATTCATTGAAAATATGTTGAGTGGAGTCACTAGCCCCCATTAGCTACTAAGCGGATCCCTCCATGGGTATGACTCTGAGAGAAAATAAAGAGAGGGAGCTGGAGCTCACCAGAAAGTTGATGTGGGGAAGGTGTCTTTTGAGTTGAATCACCATTTTTCTCGACCTTGTTCGGCACTTGGGGAGCAATATTTGTTGAATCGACAACTGTTTCTTCTATTCTGATTATATGTGGTTCTGGATCATGAATTGAATTCTCATCTCTTACCGCCATTAATTCTTCTGCATACATGCCAATATTTTATTTTTTCACGTTTTTTGTGACTAATAATCACATAATGCGCATACGACATAAGATATAATGCCATGTGTTAACAAAGTTCAAGTAAAGCTCAGGTCAGAAGAGCGTTCTCAGATTTTGGTCCATTTTAGTTATTACATTTACATAATGAGCTTTTGATTTGAAATTTTTTTTATAAAAATATACGGATGTGAGTCGACTGAAATTATTCCCAGAAATACACAAATAGAAAACAAAAACTTGGACTAAAGAAAGTAAATCATACAAAAATGAAAGGCAAAAAAATTTAGCTTGGAAGATAGGAAAAAAGATTGACAATTATGCTGGGATACCTCAGTTATTGAAAAAAATCTCAGAATAACCTGATGAAAGATACACCAAATGGAGTTGATTGCAGAAAGATTTCAAATTCTCAATTGACAAGAGTGGTATGAGAAAAATATTTTCAGTGTTTCTTCATAGGGCTGCTCGGTTGACTGTAAAGGCTGCTCGGTTAGCTGAGCCTTCATCGATACAAACAAAAAATTAAAAGAAAAAATTGGTGAGATAAGATTTATATTTTACTTATACCAAGAAAGGCATCCTTATTCCTTAACTTTATCCATTCGACTTTATTAACTACAAAATATTCATTAAACTTTCTTCCTTTGGGATCTTGAGATGAAAATGAAATTGCTTAATTATCCACCAAGAAAATTCGTAAGAGCTTACTTGAAAATGCTTACGAACTGTCTTTGAAACTTCATAAAATTTCTATAAATAAATTTTATGAAATTTCAAAAAAATCTCAATAATTTAAGTAGAAATAGATGGTAACTTTTAAAGTTTCGAATAAAATATCTAAAACCATTTTGATACTGATGACATTTGCTTGCAGTTTTAAAGAGTTTAAAGAAAGTAGATGAAAAAAAGATGATGATGTATCATTTCCCATAAAAAAAAAATCGTGGGTGTAATTATTGGGGTTAGAACTGCCAAAGAACAAACATTGGATACCTGCGCGGCGGGGACGCATTGGGATAGAAAAAACTTTTGCTGAGCTGTAACGCATGCTTTCATTGATAAACTCCCCACATTCTTATCTTTTTAACGCGGCCCGTTTGGATTACTCGGAAAAGTTACATGAATTTTTTTTTTTTTTNATTGGATACCGTCATTTTAACTTTCTGCGCGGGAGGGACGCATTGGGATATAAAAAACTTCTGCTGAGCTGTAACGCATGCTTTCTTTGACAAGCTCCCCACATTGTCTTTTTAATGCGGCCCGCTTGGATTACTCGGAAAAGTTACATGAAATTATGAGTTTTTGTTTTTTAACTAAAGCAACTCTTTATAAAAGGGCGCAACGAAATTTCCTTTATCTAAAGATAGCAATTGAATATTAATTGGCTCGCCTTTTTATGAAAAGAAGAAAAGCTAGCCTTATGTTTGGTATACTTTCCAAACTTTATACTATCCTATCATCCAATCCAATCCAATCCAATCTAGTGAATGTGCATCTGTTTTAATATTAATTATTTAATTCAAAATCTAATTATACTCTATTAAAAACATTTAACAAATATTTTTTTAATAAAAAATTTATAATTTAATAAAAACACTCTCATCCACACAAAGATATGATTGTCGTTAACGACTAAATTTCTGATCGTCATTTAGCCATCAACTACAACCAAGATATGATCGTTATCAACGGTTAGATCTGGCCATCAATGGATAGATCTTTAGCTGTAGATCTGGCTATTTTCGATTAGATCCATGATAATCTTAACAGAAACGATCATATCAGCACACAACCGGCTAGATTCAACTAGTCGTGCACTATTCTAGCGACTTTCAACCACCGTTTGTGGGTGGTGGCTAGCTACCGATAATAGTTGGATGGGTGGAAGCGTTTTTGTTAAATTATAAACTTTTATTGAGAAAAATAATTATTAAATGTTTTGAGTTGAATATAATAAGATTGAGTTGAATAGAAAAGTAATTATTTTATTGGATTGAATAAGATAGTAGGATAGGATAGTGTTTAAAAAATCTAAACAAACACAGCCGTGTTTTCACATTTATTGCTTATGCATGCATAGCATTTGTAAGGCAAAGCCAAAGCATTTGTAATTCAAAGAGAGACTTCTTAAATGAAATTTAACTTCAACTTAGTTATTAACATACTGTTCAGTAAATGCATTTGTTGATTGTTGATGCGAATTTCTATAAAGACTAAATCGCGGAGATGTAAACACGCTTCAACTAGAGATATTCGGTTGACTCCTAGGAGAACTGAGTAAGATCGGTGTGTGATTCCTGAGAATTAGTGTAAGGGACCCATGTCACATGTGGCGATGCTCAAGGTGGTGACAAGCCTTTCAATAGACGATAGATAAACTAGACGTTTTTAAAGTGGTTTGGCCGGGAAAGCGAATAAGGACTATGCCCACCGACATATTATTTCTTTGTGTGGTGTTGGGGGTACAAAGGAAGAATTTTTCAGGTGATTAGAAAAATTCTTCTAATTGGCCTTGAGGCTTGGGATTAGAGAGAGAGCAATTCTCTATTACTTCTTTTTATGTGTTTTTGTGTCTTTTTTGTTTTTCTTCTTGTTGTTCATCTCCCCCTCTTATCCTGGCTGCTACCCTTTTATATGGAAAAAGAGTTTCAGAATGTCATGATAGCGAATGCATCAGCCACATTGTTCGATGTTGCACGGTGGTCGAAAGCTCACGTGTCCCTATGAACAAAGAGGGGGAGTAAGGTTTGCTACTGTTTTTGTTGTTTTTGTGGTGCAACTACTTGAGTTAAAGATGTTGATATGATATTCTAAGGGGTTGCTTATTTGAGTTTTTACTGGCCACTTATTTTTTTTTGCTGAACTTGTTTTTTAGTTATGTTGCTCATATGAACTAGTCGCTTTATTGATCCCCTGCTGAGGAGGAGCTTATTTTAGCTTGATTACTTGTTGAACTATTTGATGTTTTCAGTTTCATATTTTCTTTGGCTTATAATTGTGTGGCTAACATTGTTTTTGTGTTGCCTTTGTTGATTGATTTTGTTCATGTCTTTGATTGTTTGTTTATATGATGATTGATTGTTTATATGAGACAAGTTTGTATTGATCTTGTAATCAATTTATTGCTTTGCTCATAAGGAGGGAGATTGTTGAATATTTTGCCAAACTTACGTTATTATGCATGCACAGTTGTTGTGTGCTTGCACAATTTTGTCAGACTTTTGCATTTTTGCATTGTATGTTTTTTTGCGTACACAACTATGCCAAGCTTATGCCTGTTGCATTTCATTTCATGTGTGTGCATAATAGATGTATGCTTGCACAACTATGTTAGACATGCTAGAAATTAATTCACATTTTATCGCAATTGTGTGCACACTTTTTTACTGCACTAACAGCTGATGTCTCATTCAGTTTTGTGCAAGTTGCGGTTTTTTCCTTATTAGCTAAAATATTTTTTTTTCTGGAACAACTGGCTAGAGAGGATTGTTGGGCGGAAGCCTAATTAAGATGCTTGCTCTAATACCATGTCAGAATCTAAGCAGGAAGAGGCAAAAGAAGCAAACTGTGTTGCCGAAGAATACCAAAAGATTAAAGAAGAAGATTCAATTGTAATGTCTATATTGAATTTTATATTGATCTTTACAATGATGTATTTATACAAGAGAGAAATAAGAAATGAAGGAAATACAATCAAGGGTGTAATTACATGAAATCATAATAAAATCAATCAACTAATATTTATGTAGGATTGTATCAATTATGCTGATTAGCATAATTTAAGGATGAGTAATTCCAGCAATCGTTCCATATTGCATCAGTTTGTTCAACTAAACAGAAAAGAAACGTTACTTAAAAGTGGATTCTATTTGGTTCAATCTATTTGCTAGCTGTAGCAGGTCTACTTTTTGCTTTGCTTGAGGGAGAACAAACAAGTTAAATAAGACTAACGGCTCATGGCTTCAAGTGCTATGAGAAGCGAAGGACAAGGAAACTAACGGAAGCTCAAGTATGTCGAGTCCGTTATTTTAGTCTGATAAGACGGCAACGTTTCAATTACAAACATTACAGTTTTAATAAATCTTCGTGAAGATCAGAGAGCAAGGTTTTTTGTTTTTTCTTCAAAGTTACTGGAGCTAGAATGGACTGATCGAACGGCTCAGTTTAGCTCCAATTGTGTTTGTTTGTTATTTGACTGAGTGGTTGAGATTAGGTTCACAAGGATTGCCTACCTCGACTTATAATGTACTATAAAAACTTTTGTAAAACAATTGTTTTTTACTTAATAAATTTAAAAAAAAAAAAAAAAAAAAAAAGGTTAACAACTTCTGTAATATTTTTTTTTTTTTGCAATTTTGCTCTGTTTCCAGAAATTTCCTGCTCCTGCCTTCAGAAGTTTTACATCCCATAAAAACAACCATTTCTCATAATAGATAAAAAGTAAAGATTTGTGAATATCAAATTTAATATATATGAAATTTACTTTAAAATATTGTTTCCTTCTTGAAAATTAATTAATTTTAATCAATAATTTACTTTAACAACTTATTAAAATAATATATCTATATATATTCATCCTGAGTACTCAACACAACACTGTTTAGTCGACAATAAGTAATCTCTCCGGTGGGGTTGCGCTATTAAAAATAGTTGAAGGTTAAGCTCATTATCATAGGAGAAAAGAGTTTGTTAATGAGGTAAAGAGTGGACTAAATAAAAGAAGAAACAGCACAAATTATGAGCTTGGGCTTAATAAATACAAAAATAATTTTTAGTATATTCTCTCCAAGTTCACAAGGTCTATATAGAAGGAATGCCTTTGTAATTTGGGATCCAAAAATCATTCTAGCAATACAATCGATCTAATTTTCAGAGCATTCTCTCTGTTTTCTCTCAATTTTATCTAAAACCAAACACATTGCATCCAATAATTTCTACTCTAAAAACCCATTTATGATCTTTGAATCTTCAATAATAATGAACAGAAATATACTAGAATACCAGGAAATTGTGAGTAAATAAGAGGAATATGAATATGGTACATATAAGTAAACTTCATATACTGTTAAGAAATAAATAATTTCTCTTCTAGTTTAAAGATTGTATCTAAATTTAAGCACTTCAACAGATAGTGATCAACAATAAGAAAAAATAAATGGCTGAATAACTTCTTGAGATGGCCAGGAATTGGAGACTAGGTGGAAAATAAAAACTCAAAAACTTTCTTCCCAAAAGGATGCATCACTGGAAGTGGAAAAATAGAAGATGGTCAACATTTGAGTTACCATGTATTCAACTCTTGCACAAAAATGTCTTGAAATTATTAACGTGTAGAGTAAAGGTTAAGAAATATTTTGTTGTTTTTGTTTTCGTTAAGTCAATTACTGAATTCTTATGTAAGAAATTTCAAGATATCCGCATCAGAAAATTAATATATACATAAATTATGAAAAACTAGACATAATTTCAGAAAATGATAGAGAAAGATTCATAAAACACCAGTTCATAGTCATTGAAGACTGAAGTACATAATTTAATTGAAAAGCTTATTTAACATCAATTTAGATGCTACAATACCACTAACTTCTATTATTCTGGCTAATTAAAGCATAGCAGTACTTGACTTGAACAGAAACCTCGAATTGTATGTTGAACAAAATGTGTCTCTCAAAAGGGGATATTGTAACTGAACAAATAGAGTGGCTGCCACAGACATTAGTATAGTGGTTATGGTGGCCAAATTTAATCTGTCATGATAAGCTAGCAAGAAGGATATGATGAAAGCTATCATCATGGTTACTAAGGCGACATAGAGAGATAAGAGTCCACCAATCAATTTAAGTGGTAATGACCTAAGAAAATCGCCTTCTGTATAACGCGAGGTAAGGATCGACAAAAACATCAACACTGAGATGATAGAGGAGGACAATGCTATTGCATTTGATATGGAAAAAACCTGAAATAAATTATCTTTCAGAAGATTAGGTATTCCTGTCTTGTCCTCATAGCCACCAGGTACACTAAATGCCGCTGCAAAAATTACAGAGGTGACGATTGTTGCAACAAGCATACATGAGCTAGCTGTCTTCTTCATCCACGATTCTCCATCTCTCAACAACCCTTTATGCTCCTCCGTAAACAATTCTTGAGGTGTTTTGCCGCTTGAATTTTTATTTTTTCTATGAGAAGGTTTCACTACCTTCTCAATCTCCTGTATATAAACATTAAGATGAAGCACTAAAATGTTATGTTTAGTAATATTTTAGATTAGATAATACTTTGAACTATAATTGAAAGATAATTAGTGGCTCCAAAAATGAAATTAAGACATTCTCTATTCAATTTGTAGAAGTTAAAAAATTGAATTACCTTAAACCATAATAACTCTCGTTGCATTTGTAGAGCTGCACCTGATACGATACTGAGTCGACTTGAATGTGGAAGTTTCGCAGCTAAATGCAATATATTGTTCTTATCTTCGTCTACTAAGGTGGTCATTACCTCTCTGTTCAAGTCTACTATCCCAAATATTAGATTGAATATATCAGCATGACGGTGTATAATCGCAATGTGAAATATGCTATAGCTATTTTCATCAAGTTTGTCAACCAAATGTGGATAACGGCTAATGAACATGTTCAAGAACTCGAAGTTTCCCAATTTAGCTGCATCGAACATGAAGTTTAGGTTTGGGTCCTCCAATTCACCTTTTTTTGATAATAACTTTTCATCAGAAAAAGGTGAATGCAAAAGACATCGTACTAATTCAAGAGCTTTAGTTGATGCCGACTCCGTTTTGTTATTATTCTTCACTCCTGGGCCTGACAATGAACATAATAAATCCTTACTGAATAACAATTGTGATAATGATAAGAATAACCAAAATTACTACTAAATGGTTTAATCCTTAGTTAACCTAGTGATGACTACTGAAAAAAAAAAAAAAAAAAAAAAAGGCTTTTCCATACCATGTTTGATGATATCAAGCAAGACATCCAAAAGAATAATTTTCAATCAGCTATCTCTAATTTTTTTAGTTTTAAAATAATTTTTTTTTTTTTTTAGGTGTGGAAACCCATGTTTTTTTTAAATTATATTAGTCTTTTTCACCACTGAGTAATAGATAGAATTTCAATCAAACTTTTTTTTTTTTTATCAGGATACTAAAAAATTTTGTTTTTTTAAAATGTTCAAAGAGAAGGACAATATATATAATTTTAACTTATGCAATATGTAAAATCACTTGTTTTTTTAGGTCAATTATATAGAAGTTGAGTATAATCATTAAATAGATAACTAACATGAGCTGATTAGCCTCTTCAATAGTCCTTCGCTGCCAGCAAATGACGAAGGCTGTCGTGCCAAAATATGCAAGGCCGTGTCTTTATTTCCGTCACAAAACATAGCTAAAGCTGGAAGATCCTTTAGCAAGTCCATTGCGACATCTGAGAAATTCACCAAATTCTAAGCGCAACAGTGTAAAAAACATGCTTCACGCAGTTACGAAAGCAATATTACATATGTCTTTTTTTATGTGTTATCCAATGTGACATTATATTATATCACTTACCGTGGTATTTTATTATTTGCATATATATATATATATATATATATATGTATGTATGTATTTATGTACACACACTTACCTTTAAGATGGAATTTTTTATATGAGATATAATATATATGGGTAAAATTATTCATTCCAATAACAAATGATAACGAAAGAACAGAATTGAATTGAAGGTACTCTTACCGTATAATGCTGTATACAAACAAGCAAAAAAAAGAGAAGCTTTGTCCTCGTCGCGCAAATTAACTTCCATGGTTTTAACTTTCCCATATAAATATAATGCCATGCGCCTGTCACCAAATATCGCAGCTAGATAGATTGGAGTCATATCTTGCCCCCCTCGAGTTTTCAACAGTTCTTCATTCCTTCTCAACATATTTGCAGCAATTTCGANATTTAATTGAAAAGCTTATTTAACATCAATTTAGATGCTACAATACCACTAACTTCTATTATTCTGGCTCATTTAAAAATAGCAGTACCTGACTTGAACAGAAACCCAGAATCGTATGTTGAATAAAATGTGTCTCTCAAAAGGGGATATTGTAACCGAACAAAAAGAGTGGCTACCACAGACATTAGTATAGTAGTTATGGTGGCGAAATTTAATCTGTCATGATAAGCTAGCAAGAAGGATGTGATGAAAGCTATCATCATGGTTACTAAGGAGACATAGAGAGATAAGAGTCCAACAATCAATTTAAGTGGTAATGACCTAAGAAAATCGTCTTCTCTATAACGCGAGGTAATGATGGACAAAAACATCAAAACTGAGATGATAGAGGAGGACAATGCTATTGCATTTGATATGGAAAAAACCTGAAATAAATTATCTTTCAAAAGATTAGGTATTCCTGTCTTGTCCTCATAGCCACCAGGTACACTAAATGCCGCTGCAAAAATTACAGAGGTGACGATTGTCGCAACAAGCATACATGAGCTAGCTGTCTTCTTCATCCACGATTCTCCATCTCTCAACAACCCTTTATGCTTCTCCGTAAACAATTCTTGAGGTGTTTTGCCGCTTGAATTTTTCTTTTTTCTATAAGAAGGTTTCACCACCTTCTCAATCTCCTGTATATAAACATTAAGATGAAGCATTAAAATGTTATGTTTCGTAATATTTTAGATCAGATAATACTTTGAACTATAATTGAAAGATAATTAGTAGCTCCAAAAATGAAATTAAGACATTCTCAATTCAAGTTGTAGAAGTTAAAAAAATGAATTACCTTAAACCATAATAACTCTCGTTGCATTTGCAGAGCTGAACCTGATACGATACTAAGTCGACTTGGATCTGGAAGTTTCGCAACTAAATGCAATATATTATTCTCATCTTTGTCTACTAAGATGGTCATTACCTCTCTGTTCAAGTCTAGTATCCCAAATATTAGTCTGAATATATCAGCATGACGGTGTATAACCGCAATGTGAAATATGCTATATTTATTTTCATCAAGTTTGTCAACCAAATTTGGATAACGGCTAATGAACAGGTTCAAGAACTTGAAGTTTCCCAATTTAGCTGCATCAAACATGAAGTTTAGGTTTGGGTCCTCCAATTCACCTTTTTCTGATAATATGTCCAAAAGACGTTATGCTAATTCAGGAGCTGTGGTTGATGCCGAATCCGTTTTGTGATTATTCTTCACTCCCGGGACTGACAATGAACATAATAAATCCTTGCTAAATAACAATTGTGATAATGATAAGAATAACCAAAATTACTACTAAATGGTTTAATCCTTAGTTAACTTAGTGATGACTACTGAAAAAAAAAAAAAAAAATGCTTTTCCATACCACGTTTGATGATATCAAGCAAGACATCCAAAAGAATAATTTTCTATCAGCTATTTCTAATTTTTTTAGTTTTAAAATAATTTTTTTTTTAGGTGTGGAAACCCATGTTTTTTTTTAAGTATATTAGTCTTTTGCACCACTGAGTAATTGAGGTAAATAGATAGAATTTCAATCAAAATTTTATATCAGGATACTCAAAAATTTTGTTTTTTTTTTTAAATGTTCAAAGAGAAGGGCAATATATAGAATTTTAACTTATGCAATATGTAAAATCACTTGTTTTTTTAGGTCAATTATATAGAAATAGAGTATAATCATTAAATAGATAACCACACTAAACAACCATATATGGAGAAACTAACATGAGCTGATTAGCCTCTTCAATAGTCCTCCTTTTCTGCCAGCAAATGACAAAGGCTGTCGTGCCAAAATCTGCAAGGCCGTATCTTGATTTTCGTCACGAGCCATAGCTAAATCTGGAAGATCCTTTAGCAAGACCATTGCAAGATCTGAGAAATTCACCAAATTCTAAGCGCAACAGTGTAAAAAACACGCTTCATGCAGTTATGAAAGCAATATTATATGTCTTTTTTGATGTGTTATCCAATGTGACATTATATTATATCACTTACCGCGGTATGTTATTATTTGCATATATATATATATATGTACACTTACATTTAAGATGGAATTTTTTATATGAGATATATATATATATACACACACTTACATTTAAGATGGAATTTTTTATATGAGATATAATATGTATGGGTAAAATTATTCATTCCAATAACAAATGATAACGAAAGAACAGAATTAAATTGAAGGTACTCTTACCGTATAATGCTGTATACAAACAAGCAAAAAAAAGAGAAGCTCTGTCCTCGTCGCGCAAATTAACTTCCATTTTTTGAACTTTCCTATATAAATATGATGCCATGTCCCTGTAACCAAATATCGCAGCTAGATAGATTGGAGTCATATCTTGCCCCCCTCGAGTTGCCAACAGTTCTCCATTCCTTTTCAACATAATTTTAGCAATTTCGATAGCTCCAGCTGCCACTGCAAAACAAAAGGCCGAGTTTCCATTTCTGTCTGTCAGAGTAAGGTCTTGAGGTTCTATCCATCGTAGCAACTTCTCTACAAATCCAATTTGTTTTGCTCCTGCTGCAATATGAAGAACAGTTTCGCCATTCTTTGCGATCTTGCCACGCAACAGTGATCGATCTCGTCCTAACAAACCTTCAGCAGCTGCCCAGTCACCTTTTAATGCGGCCCTATAAAGATCCACTCTTTCTTGGGCATAAAACTTTCCATTTTCACCTAAGTTAAAATAACGAAAATAAATTGTCATCAGATTGAATCAATAATATAAAATGTCATTAGCTTGAAATTAAAGAGAGGGAGCTCACTAGAAGGCGTCTCTTGAGTTGATTCAGCTGAAGTACCATTCTGAACCTGATCATCTGGCACTTGGGGAGCATTATTTATTGGATCAACAACCATTTCGATTTTTATTTCTTGTATGGCACTTGAATGTGATTCTTGTATTTCAGGATCATGGATTGAATTCACATCTCTTTCGGCCATTAATTCTTCTGCATACATGCCAATATACTAAATCAAAATCAAAAGATTCCATGCAAATAATATAGTGTTCTAAAAGCCACACACTTCTATAATAGTGTTTGATTTTATTAACAGCAACAAAAGATTTAATTGTACGAGTTTGTAAATATTCAAACACTGACACTTGATCATACAATTTGTAATTGGTTGATTGAGATGGAGATCGGTGATGGCTCACCGGCCTCAATCATATCTACCATAAGATGTAGGTTTACTGGTCTAGTTTGAAATTGTTATAATTTTTATATTAAATATTTTAAAACAAAACAGACAGTCTGGTTGGTAAATTTTTTTTTTTTTTTCTCTTTGTTATATATATTTAAATTACTTTGCTAATGTTGCATGTAAAGTAACAAAAAATAAACATTTTTATTAAAAAAGTTATTTTTATAATTACTAAAATATGTTTCAAAATAAGTTTTAAATAAAAAATAGCCTATAGATTCATGGGACGACTGTTGGTGGTTGTTCGTGTAAAGTGCAGAAAGTGTGCAGACTTCAGCAAGTTGGTAAAGTGCAGAAAGTGTGGAGACTCCAGCAAGTTGCAGTCTCCACTCTCCAGCAAGTTGCAGTCTCGGTTGAGACCAAGTGTTAAATAAAATCTGTATAACAAGCTAATTTTAAGTACTAACGACTTAGTTAATTATACAGATTTTATTTAACTATGTTAGTTGGTCTCAACCGAGACTGCAACTTGCTGGAGTCTGAACACTTTGGCATTCTTCCCTCAAACGAGACTGCAGCTTGTTTGGCATTCTGCATTGTTTGACATTCTGCTCCTTGCTAAGGTTGGAATTGTGCTATTTACCAACAGTGGTGGTAACCAACCGTTACCAAGAGTCAGTCTATATACCACAGTATTATGTTATCAGTCGTCAAATAGAATTTTTTGCCGTTAGTGGCCAGTAGATCGACACTAACAGATTGATCATACCACAGTATTATGTTATCATCTTCCTCAATGTGCACTTTAAAAAGGAAAAAAACTCAAAACAATTTTAACCTGTTATCAACTTTCTCCACTAATAACTATGCATCATTAAAACAAAACCAAACTCATAAACAACTGTGATTCATATATAACACCAATCAATCAAAAAACTTCGTTTTGGTTGTAACATATCTTGACCATATAATTTATAGACTTAGGTCAGGATATGCCCTTGTCCTTCTGGATCGATGAGGCGACTGAAATTATTCCCAGAAACACACAACTAGAAAACAGAAACTTGAACTAAAGCAAGCAAGCCATACAAAACCTAAGGCAAAGAAAACTTTAGCTTGGAAGAGAGGAAAAAGAAAACAACAACCTGATGAAAGATACACCGAATCGAGTTGATTGCAGAAAGATTTCAAATTCTCAATAGATCTTGGTCACCAATGTTGAACTCCAGAAGACTAGAGTGGTCTGAGAAGAAATGCTTTCAGTGTGTACATGTAGGGCTGCATGTTTAGCTCAGTCTTCGTCAATAGAAAATAAATTAAAAAAAAAAAAAAAAGGTGGCCATAAGATTTATTATACTTTGCTAACATCAAGAAAGGCTTCCTTTAACTTTTATGATGACTGATGATTATACTTTATTAATTTATAAAGTAATTTTATTTCTTATCCATAAAAAAAACTAATATTGGTCTAAATTGCTTAACTGCATATACATTATGCAAGGTGTCTACTTTGCTTGTTCATATATTTATCGGAAAGTTAATTTATAAAGTAATTTTATTTCTTATCCATAAAAAAAAACACGTTTTTGTTTCATTCATTTGCATTTCTATTATGTACTTTGTTTCCTCACGAGGCATCACGCTAATTACATCCTATGTCTATCAGTTTTCTTCTTCTTCCTTTTTTCTTAAATTAATAAATTTCTCCTGATTCTGTCAACGTTTATAAAAAATCTTCCCTTTTTTTTTTTTTGGGTTTAAATTAATAAAATTTTCTCCTCTCTATGGAGCTTTACTGAAAGAGTAAAAAATAATTAATGATAACTTTTAAAGTTTCAAATAAAATTTCTAAAACAAATATGAAATTGATGAATTTTAAAGAGTTCAAAGCAAGTGGATGAAGTTTTTATTGTATAGCGTTAGAATTGCGAAAGAGCAAATATTGGATATCATCATTTAGCTAGGTCCCTCTAAATTCTAAAGTATTGGATATCATCATTTAGCGAGGTCCCTCTAAATTCTAAAGTATTGGATGTCATCATTTAGCTAGATCCCTCTAAATTCTAAAGTGGTAAAGTTATCCAAACACTTAATAATTTCTCATTTAGCTTTCTACACGGCTTGGTCGACGCATACTTTCATTGACATCCCATGGTTGTTGTTGACGAAGACCTCTCTTCTTTGGTTGTCTTCTTGATTTTAAGTTAAGGGTTTAAATTCAATATCATTTAAATTTATTTGTTCTTTAATATTTTTAAACGAAAGTATAGATTTAAATACCAAGTTAATGAGATTAAGAAAAGAAAATATAATTATAATAATTGACACTTTAAGTCAAATTTAATATTTGATGTATAAAAAATAATAATATTTAAAAAATACTACTCCAAATAACTCAAATACGCGTTTGTTTCTCTCTTCTATTTGTATTCCAAATCAAAATACATATTTATTTTCTTATTCTCAAAATCCTATCCTAAATTATTTAACTATTTTTAATTGTCAAATTTTACTTCGTAATAACTACCCAACTCTACTTAACAACAATATTTTAAAAATACAACTCAAAATATCTAAACAAACGCACCCAATAAGATTCCTCTCATTGTTATAAAGTGTTTCATAAAATTAATGTCAAGATATATATTGATGCAGGAAACCAAGGGGTGAGTCGTTCCTACTAAGGGTGATGCAATTAATGGAGCTAAAAGACTGATCAAAAGGAAAGGTACGCCCACTTAGGATGGCGTAAGCCCACTGAGGACTCATTGAGAAAAGCCCACTGAGGACAATAAACCCACACAGGATTCTAGAAGTGACCACAAAGGTTACTTCAAGTTTTGTTGTATATTCTTTTCCAAAAGCTATTGTTACATTGTGAATAGTGCCCTTATATTGGTGCACAAAACCCTCAAAGAACCTAATAGAATTCTTAAACTTGTCCCAATTTTGACAACCCTAGTGACAAGTGTGCATACTTTAATTCTCCTACGTATGTGTGTCGTTTTCTAGAACATTAAAGCAAAAGTGAAGCATTTACAATTATTCTCCAAGTCCCTATTAGCTTGGTCTGTAACTCCTAGTTGACAACACATAACCTCTCCTCGTTCAAGCTCGCTTCGCGATCTTATCTAACTCACTCCGCGGTCTTATCCAACTCACTTTGCTTCTAGGTTGTTGTCGATGACCTGTCTTGATGCTCATGCATCATTTGCCTTCCCTTGAAAAAGATTGAACCTCGAATTGATGTCATCTTCTTCTGCTTTTTCTTAGATGTTTTCCTTTAGGTAAGGCAATAAATTAGACACATTGAAGGTACCTAAGACTTCATAGTCACTTGGTAGCTCAAATATCTTGTAGGCGTTATCATTGATTTTCTTGAGCACTCCGAAGGGTCTGTGAGATCATAGTTGCAGTTTACTGAATCTCTATGTTGGAAACATTTCCTTCCTTAGATGGATCCAAACCAGGTCTTTAGATTGGAACACTACTCTTTTACGATGACTGTATGCCCTCTGTTTGTAGATTTCATTCTATTTCGCAATCTATTTCTTTACTTGGGCATGCAAATCCTTGATCATCTTGGCCTGTTCCTCTCTATAGAGCTATAGTGATGTATAATCGACAATGGTGCTAAGTCTAACGGTGTAAATAGGTTTGTCCCATTGATTATCTCAAATGAACTTTTTCTCGTGGTGCAGTTGGGTAATATGTTGCATGCAAACTTAGATTATGGTAACACCAGGTCCCATTGTCACAGATTGTCACCAATTAAACTTCTTAGAAGATTTCACAGGCTTTGATTAACGACCTCTGTTTATCCATCGGTATGGGGTGATAAGCCAAACTAATCTAGAACTTTGTCCGCATCTTTTGCCACATCATTCTCAAAAAGTGCCTCGCAAATTTCATGTCACAATATGAGGTGAGTGATCTTTGAACCCCATGGAAAAGAACAACCTCTTTCAAGTATAATCTTGCGATATGTGAGACATCGAAGGTCTTGTTACTCGAAACGAAGTGCGCCATCTTGGAAAAGTGGTCAATCGCTACCATGGTTGAATCCTTGTTCTTTTGAGTCCTCAACAAACCCAACACAAAGTCTAGAGTTAGATCTTCTCATGGTGCCATAAAAACTAGTAAAGGAGTATATAGTGCATTGTTGGCACTTTGGGTCTTCGCTAATCGGCATGTCCGACATCGCTCGATGTACCCCATCACATCTCTCTCAATGCGAGGCCAAAAGAAGTGTTCGCTGATCATGGCCATTGTCTTATCCTTCCCAAAGTGACCAACTAAATCTCCACCATAAGTCTGTTAAATGATTGCTTCTCTCAACGAGTAGTCAGGGATGCAGAGTGTGTTTCCCTTAAAGTGATAACCTTCCTACAACAAGAACTGTTGATATGGTCGCTCTTGACATCTTTCCCAAATTCTTTCAAAATAAGGGTCATTGTGGTATAGTCCCTAAAACTCCTCAAACCCTTTGACCCAGACATCCATGGTCACAAGCAGTACATGTCTCTAGCTTAAGGCATCATCGACCTTATTCGTCACTTCAGATTGATGCTTGATAACAAACGTAAAAGCTTACAAAAATTCCACCCACTTCACATGCCTTGAATTGAGCTTGTGCTGTCCGTTGATGCACTTTAATGATTCATGATTAGAATTTAGCACGAACTCGGAGTACAAATAGTGCCTCTAACATTCCAAACTTCTCACGATCGCTTAGAACTCTTTATCATAGGCCGAATACTTTCTCCAAGCTTTGTTCAACTTCTTCCTGAAAATGCAATCAATTAGGTCTTCTGACTCAGTATTCCCTTATTCCTACTCTAGAGGTGTCACAATGTACTTCAAACACCTCCTCAAAGTCTAACAATGTGAGCACTAGTTCCTTTGTTACCCTTTTCTTTAAAAGCGACAATGCACCCTCAACTTCCTCGATCCACTCAAATTTTCCACCCTTCAGACATTTAGTGATTGGTCGATGATCATATTGAAGTTTTGAATAATTCATCTATAAAACGAAGCCAACCCATGAAAGCTTCTAACATTATGGATGCTCTTCAAAATTGGCCAACTCAAGATCGTTTTGACCTTGGCTTCATCCATTCTAATTCCCTATGCGAACACCACATACCCTAGAAATGTCACCTCGGGAAAGCAGAATTGACACTTCTTCAGGTTTTTGAATGGCCTTTTCTTTTGCAAAATTTTGAAAACTTTCCTTAGATGCTCTAGGTGATGATCTAGATTATTACTACAGACAAGAATGTTTTCGAAATACATGACCACATACTAGACAATGTATGCTCGAAACACTTGATTCATTAGTCTCATAAACGTGCTTGGCGCATTCGATAAACTAAACAGCATAACTATCCACTCATACAAACCATCTCACATTTTGAATGCAGTCTTCCATTCATCGCCAATTTGCACTCTGATTTGATGGTAACCATTTCGCAAATCATTGAACCTCGGGATGGGGAATCAATATTTGATGGTTATTTTATTGACAGTTGGACTTTCTATGGACATCTTCCATGAACCATCCTTCTTTGGTACCATCTCTGAATTCTTTTAGAATTGGTCACACTTGTCTTGGCACATCCAACCGTTCTTTGTTCTCCTCGACAATGACTAAAACAAAGACTTCTTTTTTATTGTTGATCTCCTCCACTAATTTGGCTTTTGATAGATAATGGTTTTCTCCAGACCTTTCAACTTAATTTGAGTCTGATGGTACTAGAATAATCTTCTTTCCGTCTTTGTTGAATGAGTAAGTGTTCCTGTACCCAACATACAAAACTCACCGATCATAGTGCCATGGTCTTCCTAATAGAATGTGGCATGCATCCATGGGAACAATGCCACACTAGATCTCGTCTTTGTAGTTCTTCCCCTTCGAAAATTGTATGAGGCATCTCTGGCGAACTCACACTTCATTGCCTTTGTAAACCATGAAAGCTTGTAGGGTCTAGGGTGTTCCTCGTCTGTAAACTTAACTTGTCAACCATAGTTGATGCGATCACATATTTGCAACTCCCCCTGTTGATGATGATGTTGCACACTTTGGCAAACATTGTGCACCTTGTATGGAAGATATTGTTGCAAAGACATGAGTCATCTTTACCCGCGGTTTCCACATTTAATGTCCTCCTAACGACCAAACACTCCCCTTAATCGCCATAAACGATCTCTCCTTCACTTAACTCTTCCCATTTTGGTACTTCTTTGTC